AAAAATACGTATATAAATATATAAATCAATATTTGTTAAAATGTGAATAAATAAATATATATATATATATATATAACTTTGTTGTAATTATTCGCTATTTGTGAATATTTGTGAATCACAGGCCCATAGCGGACTATTGTTCTGCTCTATGGGGGGGGGAGGTGCACTGCGGGAGGGGAGGGGAGGAACTGCTCAGGAAAGGTGAGGGTTCAGTGCCTCCATGACTAGGGCCCCGGTTTTGGGTAGACTGGTCCTTTAATACGCATGTTTTGGACCCTTTGAACCTTCTACAAAATGAAACAATGAATGTCTCCGCGCGTCTCGCTTCCTCTGAGCTCCTGCAGTCAGTAAATGGCACACTTGGCGATCTCCCAGCTGCTAAAACATGTTTTTCTTGCGAGCTGCATATTGAATAGTAACCGATGATTGTGGAAAATATTGGGGGCTGGTCCGGGAGCGGGCGTTGCTGACACCATCCATGGGTGGAGGGACACCAGCCTCTCCTAGGTGTCAGCCTGCTGATAGAATGAAAAGGACAATAATATCTCCTATTCACCGTAAAAATCAATCCGTGGTGTTTAGTTTTACAGATTAAAGGGTGAGGGGTTCCCACCATCCCTGTGCCGAGTTCCCGGGTCTGTACGCCCGCTGTGCCCATTATGAGGGGTTCCCACCGTCCCTGTGCCGAGTTCCCGGGTCTGTACGCCCGCTGTGCCCATTATGAGGGGTGATGTGGAGTTCCCGGGTCTGTACCGTCCCATTATGTGGGGTTCCGATGTGCCGAGTTCCCGGCTCTGTACGCCCGCTGTGCCCATTATGAGGGGTTCCCACCGTCCCTGTGCCGAGTTCCCGGGTCTGTACACCCGCTGTGCCCATTATGAGGGGTTCCCATCGTCCCTGTGCCGAGTTCCCGGCTCCACCCACTGTGCCCATTATGAGAGGTTCCCATCGTCCCTGTGCCGACCATTATGAGGGGTTCCCACCATCTCCCTGTGCCGAGTTCCCGGGTCTGTGCCGAACTGTACGCCCGTGTGCCCATTATGAGGGTTCCCACCATCCCTGTGCCGACCCCGCCGTGCCCTTTATGAGGGGTTCCCACCGTCCTTGTATCCAGTTCCCGGGTCTGTACACCGCCGTGCCCATTATGAGGGGTTCCCACCATCCCTGTGCCGAGTTCCCGGGTCTGTATGCCCACTGTGCCCATTATGAGGGGTTCCCACCATCCCTGTGCCGAGTTCCCTGTTCTGTACACCCGCTGGGCCCATTATGAGGGGTTCCCACCATCCCTGTGCCGAGTTCCCTGTTCTGTACACCCGCTGTGCCCGTTATGAGGGGTTCCCACCGTCCCTGTGCCGAGTTCCCGGGTCTGTACACCCACTGTGTCCGTTATGAGGGGTTCCCACCGTCCCTGTGCTGAGTTCCTAGGTCTGTACACCCGCTGTGCCTATTACGAGGAGCTGTCTAGGCCCGCAGGATTGTGAACCCCGCACTGGGCTGAGGTCATCCTGATCATGAGCAATCTCTTAACAAGGAGTGGATTTTCTCTGGCACTTGCTCTGTGACTGTCTTCCAGCAGGGTGTGCTAGAGAGAGTTATCATTGTGTGTTTTGGATGTTTGATGGCCTGCAGGTGTGGACAGTATGTGTGGGATCCTCCCCATGTGGTCCCATCCTGGAAGACGACCAATCACGTAGTGACATCCAATGTACAGCTATACTTCTTCACTGACCACCAATGTAAGGGGGACCTTCACTGACCACAAATATAAGGGGAACCTTCTTCACCAATGTAGGGGGTCCTTCTCCACTGAGCACCAATGTAGGGGAACCTTCAATGAACACAAATGTCAGAGGAACCTTCTTAACTGGCCACCAATGTAAGGAGGTACTTCTTCACCAATGTAGGGGGTCCTTCTCCATTGACCATCCAGTAAGGGGCTCCTTCACCACTGACAGTCAATGTGAGGAGGCTCTTCTCCACTGAGCACCAATGTAAGGGGATCCTTCTCCATTGTCCATCTATGTAGGGGAACCTTCTTCACTGATCCCCAATGTAAGGGGGTCCTTCTCCACTGACCACCAATGTAAGAGGAACCTTCACCACCAATGTAAGGGGTCCCTTCTACATGAATACCAGTGTAAGAGTTCACTCCCACCTTGACCAGCAATGTAAGGAGGCCTTTCTCCATTGACCACAATGGTAAGGGGAATCTTCTCTATTGTCCTTCAATGTAAGGGAACCTTCTTCACTTATCCCCAATGTAAGGGGGTTCTTCTCCACTGACCACCAATTTAAGAGGGTTCTTGTCCACCAATGTAAGGGGGCCCTTCTACAAAGGGGGCCCTTCACTGACTACCAAATAAGGAAATCCTTCACTACTGACAATTATAGTAAGGGGGCTCTTCTCCATTGACCACCTATGTCAGGGGATCCTTCATTGTTGATTAGCAATGCAGAGGGTCCACTGACCAGCAATGTGAGGGGTCACTCGTACCCTGACCACCGATGTATAGGGGCGCTTCTCCACTGACCACTAATGTAGGCGGGTCCGTCTTCACTGCCCACCAATGGAAGGGATCCTTCTCAACTGACTACCAATGTAAGGGGATCCTTCATCACTGACCATCAATGGAGGGAGCGGATCCTTCACCACTGACCACCAATGTAAGGGGATCCTTCACCATTGACCACCAATGTAAGGGGATCCTTTATCATTGACATCAATAGTAGGAGGGGGCTTCACCACTGACCACCAGTGTAAGGGGATCCTTCACCACTGACCACCAATGTAAGGGAATCCTTCACCATTGACCACCAATGTAAGGGGATCCTTCATCATTGACCATCAATGGAGGGAGGGGGCTTCACCATTGACCCCCAATGTAAGGGAATCCTTCACCATTGACCATCAATGGAGGGGAAGAGGGTGGCTTCTCCATTGACCCCCAATGTAAAGGGATCCTTCACCACTGACCACCAATGTAAGGGGATCCTTCACCATTGACCACCAATGTAAGGGGATCCTTCATCATTGACCATCAATGGAGGGAGGGGGCTTCACCATTGACCCCCAATGTAAGGGAATCCTTCACCATTGACCTTCAATGGAGGGGAAGAGGGTGGCTTCTCCATTGACCCCCAATGTAAAGGGATCCTTCACCATTGACCACCAATGTAAGGGGATCCTTCACCATTGACCACCAATGTAAGGGGATCCTTCACCATTGACCACCAATGTAAGGGGATCCTTCACCATTGACCACCAATGTGAGGATTCTTCCCCATTGACCACCATGTGGGGGCTTCACCATTGACCACCAATGTAAGGGGATCCTTCACCATTGACCACCAATGTAAGAGGATCCTTCCCCATTGACCACCAATGTAAGAGGATTCTTCCCCATTGACCACCAATGAGGGGGTGGGGGCTTCACCATTGACCACCAATGTAAGGGGATCCTTCACCATTGACCATTTATATAGATATGTTGTATAGATATACTTTGTTATACATTGTTCGCTTTCTACAGTCACATGTCTACTAAGCTTTGTTTCCATTGGCCGGTCTGCGGTCTCCGGGGTGCTTCTTGTTCTCCGTTCCAGCAGACTTCAGACCCCAGTGTACTCCATGAACCATTTCCGTAAATACTATCATATACACCTTCACCAAGGAGGTCAGTGGCTCCTTCCCATGATGCCCTGGGCTCCTTCTTTGTCGGGGACAGGAGCAGACGCGTGGTGGTCTCTGTACCCTCAGGTGTCCTCCTTATTGGCTTTCCATGAAGCAGAAAAGTCATGTGACCGCAGAGTTTCTGATTGTTGATTGGGTGGGAAATGTCATTTGGGGGAGTGGCGGCCGGACTACTGAATGGAGAATTTGATTGATTTCCTGTGGGGAGAGAATGGAACAAAGAGCTCTTTCACTCAGGTCCTCCTGCAACCACTGGGAGTGCCCTGCATGGGAGGGGGCAGGTTCTCTTGGAACCACTTGATGCCCCCTGCAGGGGAGGGGATAGGTCCTCCTGGCACAACTGGGAGGTCCCTGCAGGGAAGGGGGCAGATCCTTTTGGCACTACTGAGTGCGCCCTTCAGGGGAGGGGACATGTCCTCCTAGTACCATGGGGAGGGCCTTGCAGGGGAGGGGGACATGTTCACTTGGCACCATGGGAGCCCCCTGCAGGGGAGGGGGCAGGTCTTTTTGGCACTACTGAGTGCGCGCTTCAGGGGAGGGGACATGTCCTCCTGGCACCATGGGGAAGGCCCTGCAGGGGAGGGGACAGGTCCTCTTGTCACCATGGGAGCCCCCTTCAGGATAGAGGACAGGTCCTCTTGGCACCATGGGAGCCCCCTTCAGGGGAGGGAACAGGTATTCCTGGCACCATGGGAGCCCCCTACATGGAAGGGGATAGGTCCTCTTGGCTTTATGGGAGCCCTCTGTAGGAGAGGTAATAGGTCCCCTTGGCACACTGGGAGCCCTCTGCAGGGTGGGGACATGTCTTTCTGGCACCATGGGAGCCCCCTGCAGGGGAGGGAATGGGTCCTCTTGGCACCAGGGGACCCCCCTGCAGGAGAGGGAATGGGTCCTCTTGGCACCATGGAAGCCCCCTGCAGGGGAGGGAATGGGTCCTCTTGGCACCAGGGGAGGCCCCTGCAGGGGGGGGAATGGGTCCTCTTGGCACCATGGAGCCCCCTGCAGGGTGAGGGAATGGGTCCTTTTGGCACCATGGGAGCCCCTGCAGGGGGGGAGAGGTCTTTATGGCACCAGGTTCTTTTGGAACCATGGGAGCAGGGGAGGGACACCCCACCACCTCTCACAGGTCATGGAGTGGTGGTAGAAGGGGCGGGTGGTGGTGGCGTGTGTGTTGGGGGGGGGGGTCCCCCCAGGAACAAGTGATACCTATATACAGCATTTGTTATTATGTTTCCATTATATTGTTCTCATTGTTTCCTTTTTTCCTTTTTTTTCCAGAGTTTTTAAAAAAGCGAGTCCGAATGGAAAGGTGAGTGAGGTCGTAGATTTTACTTTTTCCATTGTGTGATGTCATAGGTTTTATATTTATATAGTATGATGTCATAGATTTTATATTTACATTGTGTGATGTCATAGATTTTTTATTTCCATACGTGTGATGTCATAGATTTTATATGTATGTCGTATGACGTCATAGATTTTATATTTACATTGTGTGATGTCATAGATTTTATATTTCCATCGTGTGATGTCATAGATGGGATATCATATGATGTCATAGATTTTATATTTACGATTGTGTGATGTCATAGATTTTATATTTACATTGTGTGATGTCATAGATTTTATATTTTGATTGTGTGATGTCATAGATTTTATATTTTGATCGTGTGATGTCATAGATTTTATATTTATACCGTGTGATGTCATAGATTTTATATTTTGATCATGTGATGTCATAGATTTTATATTTACATCGTGTGATGTCATAGATTTTATATTTACATTGTGTGATGTCATAGATTTTATATTTCGATCATGTGATGTCATAGCTCCTTCCTCCCAGATCTGACTCTCTCTGGCCCCACCCCCTTTCTCCACTGGATTACAGTTCTTTAAATCGTGGAGGTGTGGCATCACACGCAGGCGTTACCTATGCAAATGCAGCCCGCCCACAAACGCCCACTCCTCCACACTGATGTCCACCTATCAAGGCATTTTAGTTATTTGCATAACTCCTCCCACTGCTTGCGGGGGCTCCTGAGAGTGGTACTGTGGCAGGGTGCTGGCATGTCTTCAGGCAGCTATGTCCAGCACCCTGCTGGCTCCTCCCACCAGCCACGATCTGCCTGCCTTGCATAGGGAGACTCGTGGACGATGTCACCGGGTACAAAATGTAAGAAAACAGAAAACTTTTATAACCTGTACAGAAATCTGACACCTGTGGGGCAGAGGCCTGCACCACCTAACCGGTGCCAAGTCCAGGCATTGAACCTCACCCACCGGATTCCTTTATCTGGCATCATTGCAGGAAGGTTCTGCCACCCTCCTTTATATAGCTGGGGGGGGGTGCAAATAATCCCCGAATATGTGTACTTCCTCAGCGCCATCTACTGGCCATAATGTGGTATTTTCCTGATTTAAGTATTTCAGGAAAATACCACATTGTGGCCACTAGTTGGGCGCTGAAGATCATAGGAAAAGACACAAAGGATCGCAGCCAATTGTCCATTCCGGAAGTTATGAAGACTGCGATGGCGGACTCCGGTGCTGCCAATGGCCAGAGACCTGCAGGGCTGCCCCAGAGCCCCCCCGGAGAAGACCGCGCCATTCCAGCATCCACCCAACTCTGAAGTCCTGGTTTTGGGTGGAGCAGCCCTTGAAGAGAGGCGCTCCTGTCCTCCGGGGCGCTAATCTTTGATCCTTCAGGGATTCGGATGACATGTAGCAGGCGGAGGCGAGACGCGGCGAGCAGACGGAGCTGTTCTCTCACCGCCAGTTACCACGGCAACTTTAAATGTAGATGGATTTTTTTTTTTTTTGCACCAGAGGATTTACAGACCAGGCAAAGCCACGGAGGCCCGAGCCACGTGACCAGAGAGATAGACATTGCCGGGCGACTTCTGAAAATGCTAGTTGTCTGGCCGTCATGCCGATCCTCTGGTGTCACTAATTAATGAGGATCTGGCACAGCAAAGGTATGCAAATCGAGAAAGAGGGAGAGTTTGATTGGACTGGCTGCATGTTGGTTACAGTTACAATGTACAGTCTGATCACAGGGAGGGGGGGAGACTGAGGAAACGCCCCCTCCTCCTTCTACAAAGTTACAATGTACAGTCTGATCACAGGGAGAGGGGAGACTGAGGAAACGCTTCCTCCTCCTTCTACAAAGTTACAATGTACAGTTCTGATCACTGGGGGAGTTGACTGAGGAAATGCCTCCTCCTCCTTCTTCAAAGTTACAGTGTACAGTCCGATCACTGGGGGAGGGGAGACTGAGGAAATGACTCCTCCTCCTTCTACAAAGTTACAATGTGCAGTCTGATCACTGGGGGGGGGGGAAACTGAGGAAACGCTTCCTCCCTTTACTACAAAGTTACAATGTACAGTCTGATCACTGGGGGAGGGACTGAGGAAATGCCTCCTCCTCCTTCTTCAAAGTTACAGTGTACAGTCTGATCACTGGGGGAGGGGGGAGACTGAGGAAATGACTGCTCCTCCTTCTACAAAGTTACAATGTACAGTCTGATCACTGGGGGAGGGGAGGGAGACTGAGGAAATGCATCCTCCTCCTTCTACAAAGTTACAATGTACAGTCTGATCGCTGGGGGAGGGAGACTGAGGAAACGACTCCTCCTCCTTCTACAAAGTTACAATGTACAGTCTGATCACTGGGGGAGGGGAGGAAATGCTTCCTCTTACCTGCAGCAGACTGATGACAACATCTCAGCCTAGTCCCAGTCACTGATTGGAGCTCAGGGAGGTGATAAAAGGCGGAGCTTTTGTGATCCTGCTGCTGTACGTTGGGACAGGTGAGGAGTTCATTCGCAGGAACAGACAGGTGCACTTTTATTATGGCTTTTGATCATTTATTGATTTTTTGATGTTGTCTGTAAGGGCGTTCTTTTCCTATAGTAGTGATGGCTTGTCCATTGCAGGGCGGAGCCAAGGGGTGGGCAGGAGGGGGGAATAGCTGCCTTGGGCGTTTCAGCAGGAGGGGACCAAAAGGGCGGGGGCTGCAACCTATGCTGCTGAAGTAGTTCACAGCTCCTGCAGGCAGGGGGCGCACTCTGGCCCTTGTATCAAAACACTGGGTGTCTGGGGGTGGATGGGATCTGGTGGTGGATGGGTGGGGGTTGGTGGGATCTGGTGGTGGATGGGTGTCTGGGGGTGGGATCTGATGGTGGATGGGGGGGTGTGATGGAATGTGGATGGATGGGTATGTGTGGATGGGTGGTGGCGGTGGTGGGTGTCTGGTGGTGGGATGGGTTGGGTGGCGGATGGGGGGATGGGTGTCTGGTGGTGGATGGTGGGTGGATGGTGTCTGGGGGGTGTGGTGGGGATGGGGTGTCTGGTGGGTGGATGGGATGGGTGGTGGATGGGATCTGGTGGCAGGATGTCTGGGTGGATGGGATCTGGTGGTGTGGATGGGTGTCTGGGGCGGATGGGATGTGGGGGGGGGTGGTGGATGGGTGTCTGGTGGTGGATGGGATCTGGTGGCGGGTGGGGGTCTGGTGGGGTGGCGGATGGGTGTCTGGGGTGTGGCGGCGGATGGGATCTGGTGGGATGGTGTGGGGGGGGTGGGGTGGGATCTGGTGGGGTCTGGGGGGGGGTCTGGTGTCTTTGGGTGTCTGGATGGGGGGTGGTGGTGGGGATGGGATCTGGTGGGATGGGGTGTCTGGTGGCGGAGGGGTGTCTGGTGGTGGATGGGATCTGGTGGTGGGGGTGTTGAATGGGATCTGGTGTGGGTGGTGGGATTGGTGGATGGTGAATGGGATCGGGTGGGAGGGGGTGTCTGGGGGCGGGTGGGATCTGGTAGCGGTGGGTGGGTGTCTGGTGGTGGATGGGATCTGGTGGTGGATGGGTGTCTGGTGGTGGATGGGTGTCTGGTGGCGGATGGGATTTGGGCTTTGGTGGGTGTCATGGTGGTGGTGATGGGATTGGTGGCGGGTGGGTGTCTGGGGTGGATGGGATCTGGTGCTGGATGGGTGTCTGGTGGTGGATGGGATCTGGTGCTGGATGGGGGACTGGTAGTGGATGGGATTCTGTGGTGGATGGGTGTCTGGTGGGTGGATGGGATCTAGTGGGGATGGGTGTTGGTGGTGGCGGATGGGTGTCTAGTGGCGGGGGGCGGGATCTGGTGGCGGGTGGGTGTCTGGTGGTGGGATGGGATCTGATGGCGGATGGGATTTGGTGGCGGATGGGTGTCTGGTGGTGGATGGGATCTGGTGGCAGATGGGTGTTTGGTGGCGGATGGGATCTGGTGGTGGATGGGGGATCTGGTGGGGATGGGTGTCTGGTGGGGTGGGATCTGGTGGGGGGATGGGTGTCTGGTGGTGGATGGGATCTGGTGGTGGATGGGATCTGGTGGCGGATGGGTGTCTGGTGGTGGATGGGATCTGGTGGTGGATGGGTGTTTGTGGTGGTGGATGGGATTGGTGGCGGATGGGTGTCTGGTGGGGATGGGTGTCTGGTGGCGGGATAGGAACTGGTGGTGGATGGGAATTGATGGTGGTTGATGGGTGTCTGGTGGGGGGATGGGATTTTGGTGGGGGGGGGGGTCTGGTGGCGGGTGGGTGTCTGGTGGTTTTTGTTAGATCTGGTGCTGGATGGGTGTCTGGTGTGGATGGGATTGGTGGTGGTGGGATCAGGTGTTGTGGGGATGGGTGGTGTTGAATGGGATCTGGTGGTGGATGGGGTTGTGGTGGTGAATGGGATCGGGTGGTGGATGGGTGTTTTAGTGGCGGATGGGATTGTGGTTTAGCGGATGGGTGTCTGGTGGTGGTGGTATGGGATCTGGTGGTGGATGGGTGTCTGGGGTGGATGGGGGTGTCTGGTTTGGATGGGATTGTGGTGGGGGTGGGGTTGGTGGGTGGAGGTGGGATCTGGTGGCGGGTGGGTGTCTGGTGGTGGATGGGATCTGGTGGGGATGGGTGTCTGGTGGTGGATGGGATCTGGTGCTGGATGGATGACTGGTAGTGGATGGGATCTGATGGTGGATGGGTGTTTTTGGTGGTGGATGGGATTAGTGGCGGATGGGTGTCTGGTGGCGGATGGGTGTCTAGTGGCGGATGGGGATCTTTGGCGGGTGGGTGTGTGGTGGTGGGGGGGGGTCTGGGGTGGATGGGATTGGGGGGGGGGATGGGTGTGGTGGGGGTTGGGTGGATGGGATCTGGTGGCAGATGGGTGTCTGGTGGGGATGGGATCTGGTGGTGGATGGGGGATCTGGTGGCGGATGGGTGTCTGGTTGGGCGGGGGGGGGTCTGGTGGTGGGTGGGTGTCTGGTGGCGGGGGGGGTCTGGTGGGGGG